TGGTAACATAACTTTAACTTCAAATATCTCCAAACAATGAAAATGTTACTTATACCCTTTTTATTCTAACCCCTTCAATTATAATAATACAGAATATATAAACAAATACTAAAATAACTATAAATTCAAAATAAGTTTAGCTAACTTCAAAATAATTTATGGCCAACGTTGTAATATTTTCAATAGTGGCAACTGCAATATCACATTCATTGCATATTTTATTGAAGTTACCACTCATGACAAATACTGGAGATTTCAAAAGAACATTGGTTCTGGCATATGTATTATAGAAAGTAAAAATAGATCTAGCATTAATTCGTGGTACGTGAATGTTAAAGAGTGATATCAAAAAGGTACTGTCTATTTCATTTCTGAACAGCCCGTACAGAAATTTAATACTTAATAAAAATCTTCTACATTGCAAGGACCTAACATTAAATCTATTCAACAATAAAATATGTTCAGTACCTCTAGCAGGATAAATATTGTCAAGTCTAAAAGCTAAAATTTTCAAAAATCGCCTTTGTACTCTTTCTAATTGATCAGTGTAGGCATTATAATATGGATACCAAACAAGAGAGCAGTACTCTAGCTTAGTACGAACCAATGAATAATACAAAACTTTCAATGCACCCTCACAATTCATTGATTGAGTATTTCTATTTATAAAACCAACCATTTTAAGAGCAGATTTTACAATACTAGTGATGTGGTCTGAAAATGATAATTTGGTATCAAAATATACTCCCAAGTCTCTGGTACCTGTACACCTTGATATGGAATCGTCATTAATTGTGTACTCAAAAATAATTGGATATTTTTTTAGAGTAAAGGTACACACCTTACATTTACCGATATTCAAAAAAAGTTTATTGAGGATACACCATTCATTTATTAAGTTTAGCTGATATATATATATATATATATATATATCAACACATCTAAAAAAAGTGTTGTGTAAAATTTTAGCCAAATCGATTAACATTAACACGTGCCGCAGAGCACTTGAAATTTTTAATGGGAAAAACATGCATTTATTTTTTACAGCCTTTTATTTATACTTTTCTCAAAAGTAAAATAATTAATAGAAAATTTTCAAACTCTGCATCGAAAACTATTTTTTCCAAATTTTTAAAATCATACCTTCCCCGTTGAGAGTATTTTTTTCTTCAATATTTTAATACACAGCCCCACAAAAAAAAGAAAAATGGGAACTCCGACGCGTCGCGAAGTACCTGAATAGTTACATATAATGGATTTTGGGTTGCTGAGTCCGAATCCGTGGTCGGAATTCCGCCATCACCCCCAAGTTTTTTATAACCTCAAAAAACATTGTTTTTTGGTCAACTTTGCATTGTAAAACTGATTTTAAAAAACGCGTGTTTTTTTTTTCGATTTCGACCATAAATTCGGATTCAGCAGCGAAAAATATATAGAAAAGTGTGCCGTATTTTTAAGACCCACTCATCAGCACTTAGTATAGATTCTTTTTAGAAAATAAACACAAAATTATTCATTTTTTTACTGCTTAAAATTTTCCGCAGAATGATCCATTATTCTTATATTTACCCAATAATGTTGCCCATGCTTAATCTTAATATTTTCTTTGTTGTTTAGTATAGAATCTATACTATTATTATATAATACTAATATTAAGATTAAATACAATATTTTAATACAATAAGTATCAATACTATATCAGATATATATATATGAATCATTTTGTGTTTATTTTCTAAAAAAAATCTATCAGAAGTGCTGATGAGTGGCTCTTAAAAAATACGGCACACTTTTCTATATATTTTTCGCTGCTGAATCCGAATTTATGGTCGAAATCGAAAAAAAAATACGCGTTTTTTAAAATCAGTTTTACAATGCAAAGTTGACCAAAAAACAATGTTTTTTGAGGTTATAAAAAACTTGGGGGTGATGGCGGAATTCCGACCACGGATTTGGACTCAAAGCAACCCAAAATCCATTATATGTAACTATTCAGGTACTTCGCGACGCGTCGGAGTTCCCATTTTTCTTTTTTTTGTTGGGCTGTGTATTAAAATATTGAAGAAAAAAATACTCTCAACGGGGAAGGTATGATTTTAAAAATTTGGAAAAAATAGTTTTCGATGCTCCTTAATGTACTTAAAAATTGTGCAGAGTTTGAAAATTTTCTATTAATTATTTTACTTTTGAGAAAAGTATAAATAAAAGGCTGTAAAAAATAAATGCATGTTTTTCCCATTAAAAATTTCAAGTGCTCTGCGGCACGAGTTAATGTTAATCGATTTGGCTAAAATTTTACACAACACTTTTTTTAGATGTGTTGATTACTTTTTAGGCCGGGAATGGAGAAAATTCGGACTTCGCCAAAATAAGCCCCACCCTAATATATATATATATATATATATATATATATATATATATATATGTACATACAATTTCTGTAAATAGAGAGCAGTTTTACTTTGTGGTCCTCATTTCCCGACGCGGCTGATTATATAAATATATATATATATATATATATATATATATATTCTGAAGAAGCTACTGTGTAGCAAAACAATTGTCAACATATAATAAATTACGTGAAACTTTCGAAACATAGTTGTTTTTTTATTTACATATTTAATACGATGAAGCTCCCGTCCCGAGGCGGGACTTAACTTCGATCCCGACTGACGTCACACACTGTGAATCCGTTTTATTCCCAGAGCGTTTAAAATTAATGTTAAGCTGGATGGCTCAGATGGTAGGGCAGTCGCTTGGTATGCGAGAGGTACCGGGTTCGATACTACTATAAGTTGGCGAACTTTTTTTATTTTTTTTATTTTATAAATTTGTTGTTCCTTTCTTAAAAAGTGTTGGATTGTGTTGGTTGGTGTGGTTGGTTTGTTTTAGTTTTATCGTAACATAACAAATCTTAAAATTATGACGTCACTCGGGACTGAACTTAAGTCCCGCCTCGGGACGGGAGACACAGCGTATTTGAAGGGGTTAGAATAGAAAGGGTATAAGTGCAATTTCTTTAATTTAGGAGATAAGTTCGTTTTGTGAAAGATAAGGTTCCGACGTATCGAAATGAAAAGGATTTAAGTAATTTTCATACTTCTAGGGACCTCTATTATCCAGTAGAAAAACAATACTAAACAAAATTCTTCACTTTTTTATGGTAACATAACTTTAACTTCAAATATCTCCAAAAAATGAAAATGTTACTTATACCCTTTTTATTCTAACCCCTTCATTTAATATGAAGTTCCATCAAGTAAAGGTCGAAACAATTAATAAGTCAAAAGTTTTCACAAATTATCTCATACAATCAGTTTTATAGTTCAAATTGCATTTTTGTGACAATATTTAAACTATTTTATAAATTATAATAATCATATTTAGTAAAATCATTTATATTTCCTCACAAAAAAGCATTTTAAACTTTTAAATTGAATATAGAAAATGATTAGTCAAAATATTACTTGTACTGTTTTTAATCTTACCCATTTAATTGTAAGTACATTTTATGTAGGTATTGTTTAACATAAATATAAATAAGTATAAAATGTTAGATGCCATTCGGCTGAGATGTGTCTTTTGGTGCTTAGCTCGATTGTAGGCCTCCGCTAACGCGTCGGCTCAGTACAAAAATACTCACTTCTCAGCCTAATGACATAAATAACCATTAAATGGTGAATAAATTAACAGACATTTCTTTATGAATGAACAGTCATGTTTGTATAAAATAACTAATTTGTTCTAGTTCTATTGCATATTATTGACATTATTTGGGTTTTTTCCTTAAATAACTGCTGATTTCAATATTCACTATTATTTGAACCAATCGGGTTTTAAATTGAGAAAGTTAGGTTAACAGATGTCAGATTTATTATATATATATAGAAGGGACAACTATAATAATTATTTTTTCTACTCCTATTACGGAATTTGACCGTTTTATTATCACTTTTATCTATGGAATGACATATATTCCGTAAAGTGTTACAGAATGAAATATTCTATCATCCTATGACAGAAAAAACACTGGCGACATCTCTATTTTTAATATCTAACAAATTTTAGGCCGATCAAACCTCACTTTCTTCCAATCAAATGACTTTTCTATGGTATTTTTTGAAACGTAGAAAAAGTATAGTCTGAAACACGTTTGGAATTGCATATTCCGCTCTCGTGAAACCGTCAAACTCGCCTTCGGCTCTTCACTCGAGCGGAATATTCTGTATTCCAAACTTGTTACAGAATATACTATTCTACTTCTATTACATATGGAATATGACCGTTCTAATATCACTTTTATCTATGGAATGACATATATTCCGTAAAGTGTTACAGAATGAAATATTCTATCATCTGATGACAGAATAAACACTCGTGGCGACATCTTTGTTTTTAATATCTAACAAATTTTAGACCGATCCAATCTTACTTTCTTCCAAATAAATTATTTGTCTATGGTATTTTTTAGAAAAAGTATAGTCTGAAACACGTTTGGAATTGCATATTCCCCTCTCGTAAAACCGTCAAACTCGCCTTCGGCTCGTGTGACAAACTTTTCACTCGAGCGGAATATGCCGTATTCCAAACTTGTTACAGAATATACTATTAGAATCGGGAGAAAGTGAGATTATAATAAATTTTGTTACTAATAAAAATTACTTAATTTAATTATTTATTCAAGGTTTACATTAAACATTTTAGCATTATAGCTTCACGTGTCAATCCTAAAATTAATCTTTAAATTACTTTATGGGCAAATAAGCTGTTTAAATAAGAATGTAAATTATATAATAGTTGTTAGTAACTATTTTGTATTGTTTAAGACTTAAAACAAGGAAATATTACTGTAGTATAACATACATGTTTTATATGTAATAAGTATTTTTAAATAAAAGTGAAAAAAATTAATCTTTGTTTATTGTTTTTATTAGTGTCTACTTATTGCTTTATTACCTTAATCAAACTTAATAGAAAACGATGTATGTTTATTAAGTATTTAGCATTAATTTTGTTAAACAATTTTAAATTAACTATATGGTACTATTTAAAAGTAACTTAATAATTTTTTATAGTTTTCAAAAGTTAGCACTTGGTGCGTGAATATATACGAATATATTCTGCACTAAGTTGCCGCTAAAAAAAAGCAAAAAACTGTATTAATTTACTTATGTTTTAATATTAGTTAGATGTTTGTTAATAAATCTTAAAATGAAGGAACCAGGCAAAGAATCAATTTTTAAAGGAACATCTTCACAAATAGTCGCTGTACTGATATGTAAGTAAAAAAATAGTTACGCCATTAATAAAGTTAATAAATATTTAAATAATAAGATTTATAAGTTATAATTACATTCTTAAAAGCAAACCTTTATATATTTTCTTGCGATGTTGCCAAATTTCCTAAAACTGTAAGAACCTCTGAATTAAAAAAAAAACTTTAGGATACTTTAAAAAATTCATTTGCAATGTTTGTTTTGAATTTTTTTAGAAATTTTGGGAAAACAAAACTCAATTTTTTGAAAATTTTTAATTGTTAAAAAAAATTTAAAATTTAGTTTTAATCGTAAATTGAGGTCAATGAACCCGATTTTGAAAACCAAAGGTCCGGTCTAGTTTTAAAATCGACATTTTGGAAATCAACATTGAAAATCACTTTTAAACTACTCTTAATTCATGCTCCACAATATAAAACAAAATTTTAACCATCAATGTAATTTTTAGGTACTTTTAGTGCAATATCAGATGGAATGCAATACGCATGGACAGCACCTGTCGTCCCGATCCTCAGAGGTCCTGACAGTCCTTTACCAATAACCGAAGATGAGGCAGGTTGGCTGGAAAAAATCTACTTAATCGGAGGTATATGCGGACTACCCGTCACCATGTTACTAGTCGATAGAATAGGCAGAAAACGCACTCTGATGTGCGCTGCAACTTCAAGCCTTACAGGCTGGGTTCTCATAGCTGCAGCAAACAGGATTGAGTATCTTTATGTGGCTAGATTTTGCACTGGGTTAGCGCAGGATGTGGCTTTCGTTTCAGCGCCTATGTACGTTGCCGAAGTGGCTGAACAGAAGATTAGAGGATTTTTGGCTGGGGTCATGTCACTTATGCAGCTATTCGGAATTTTGGTAATATACATAGCTGCGCCTTATGGTTCCTTCTTCACTTCGGCTATCATAGGTTGCGTTAATCTTGCCATGCAGTTGATAGGGTTCAATTTTATCCCAGAGTCGCCGTACTTTTTGCTCTCTGTGGGTAAAAATGAAGAAGCTAAAAAAGCTTTACTAAGACTAAGGGGAGCAGAGAACGTTGACAAGGAAATGGCGGACATAACTAAAGCAGTGCAAAGACAAAACGCTGAACCTGGAAGACTTCAAGATTTAATCCTTGTAAAAAGCAACAGAAAGGCCATTATAATAATGGCAATATTAAATGCCTCGCAACACTTTAGCAGCTTAACAGTTATGCTTATGAATCTCCACAGTATATTAGAGGCAGGAAAATCAGTATACCTTCCACCTGTGGAAAGTGCAATAGTTTTTGCTGCCTCCATGCTTTTGGCCTGCTTTTTCGCAGGATTTTTCATCGACAAATATGGTAGAAAGGTCCTTTTAACATTCTCATGCATATGTTCAAGCCTAGTTGTGTTAGCTTTGGCCATATATTTCACCCTACAAAGACAAGGAGTTGATGTTACTGGTGCATCTTGGATTCCTACAGTTTCTGTAATGGTTTACGCAGCCGTTTTTAGGACTGGTTTAGGTATAATTCCACTAGTGTTGACATCGGAAATATTCCCTACGAAGCTCAAAGCGTTTGGAATGACAGTATCCGACGCTATTTACCTTAGTTGTGGGATTATTTCCCTGGAAGTTTACCAGGTGTTAGGGGACAACTATGGGCTGGATGTTCCTTTCTACGTTTTTTCACTATGTAGTTTATTGGCAGCTGGATTCTGCCTTTTCTATATTCCAGAAACCAAGGGCAAATCCCTGGAGGAAATTCAGTTTATGTTGAAAGGGGAACCTTATCCTCACAAAGATAACAAAGGAAATGAAAATGCAAGTTTTGAAGATAGTCACCTATAAATTAACACTTTTTAATAACTGTAAATTAAAATTTTAAATTATAAATACGTTGTATAGAATAAAATTGTTAATATATTTTGATAAATATTTGTTTAAGTTATAAATTAAGCATGGCCCCTAAAAAATTGCACGTGTCAATATCATGGTATATTCTTTAATTATCTATTTAACAAGCAGATAAACCAAACAAATAAAATAATAGACGTAAATGAAATAAATGGATTAAAAATTAGGTAATAGTATATTATGTATCAGGTTTTATAAACGCCATTTTGGTTACGAGTTTCATTTGGCACGAGCGAAGCTTGCGAGCGAGTGTTTAATAAAAACGAGTGTTTAGAGAAGTTTATAAAACGAGTTGCATACTATACTTTATCTACGACGAACACAAAGAAGAATTCAAAGCAAATTCTGTCAACTATTAATTTATAATAAAGCTAACTTCAGCCCGTGACTAAAATGCCCAAAATGATTGAATGAATAATGATAATAATAATAATAATTTATTTATTGCCCAACAGTTCTCACAAATAACAAAATTACAGTAGATACAAAAACAATTTGTAATATAAATAAAATAAATAATAAAATTAATATATTAATGAAGTATAATTGAATTTAATTTAAAATAAACAAAAACCGATTTTCAAAATTATTTTATAATACAAAGAAAACATAAACTTTTTAGAAACAATTTTGTATTTTTAAACGAGTATACAATAGGGTGTTTCATTTAAAACGAAAAATTCTTTTTTCTTGCTGACACATGAAAATTTTGTTTTTTAGGTTGAAAAAAAAAATTCCCTGAAAATTTTAGCCCTTAAATTTGATTTTAAGTACTTTTTAATTTTGTAGTTTTTCCATATAAAAAGCATGTATTTTTAATCATTTTTACTTTAAATTTCTATATTTTGGCCGGGTTTTGAATTATAATTTTTATCACCATAATTTCCTGCATAGTATTCACGGTTTTTAAAAGGCCCTGCATCAATTTTGTTTTTGATTTATTTACGTTGATTGTAGTAGCTCCAAAAGTCGTTTTTTCACTTTTTCTCAGATATTTTTGAGAAAATCGAGCGAATGACTGGTTTTACCGAAAAAGTTCAAATGAAAAAGTTGTAGGAAATTTAATTTTTGACAAAAAAAGTTCTTACGTTCATATCACTAAAGGGCTACCTAGGCCATGGCGCCAAGAACATTAAAATTAATCAATTAAAGGTTGACGCCTTTGAAAGGCGGCCTTTCTGCAAAAGAGAAAATAACCCAAAAAAATCGGGATATATGTGCAGAAAGGCCTTTGACCTTTTGCAGTTTCAACAACGAAATGTTTTATGTAAAATTCTGTTTTAGGTTATTTAAAAATAGTAAAAATTAAGTTAGTTCTTCATTGTTTTGTTTTTCTATATAAAAATAAATTATTTTTTTATTTATTTTATTGTAATTTTTTATTAAACCCTGCTTGTCACCCTATGTGCACCCCTGTCGGCTTACATGTATTCTGTTATATTACTAATATGGGCTGTAATTATGGGCGCCATTATTATTGGCCTAGGGCGACAAATTGTCTTAATCCGGACCTGACCGTTAAGTATATGATACGATGATTTAAATTTTTAATTCTTTGACATCATAAACTGTCAGAAATCACATGTCAACGTCAGCTGCATGAAGTCTACGCAAACGACCTACTAAATCGCACAAATTACGTGTTCTTTTTTCACCACCAGCAGCTCTGATTTCCTTTTTGAACTGACGTCTGCTATTTCGATACTGTTTTGGTACAACTCAAACAACAAACAGAACACCCGCGCCCTCTATTTTGGGATACCTTTTGTGTAAGTTTTCCATTGTCAGCTGCCCTAAAATTTAACAACGTCTTTTACCGTACAGCAAATTATTTTTTGAGATTAATAAAACACATTTTAATAAATTTAACACACTGTATCTCAAAAACGAAGATTTAAAACACATTTTCCTGATTTAAACCTGTGACACCCTGTATATTCACATACATGTGAGTTTACTACTATACTTTCATTTATGTATGTGTTTACTATTTAATGACGCCATCTATAATCATTTCTTTTTACTTATGTCAATGTAATTTAGTTTTCTGTTATCAATATTTAAAGAAACCGTTAATAAATTTATTGGTAAAATTATTCAAAACACATCATTTGACATCATTAGTCAGCCTTATCTAAACCGGTAAATTATTGTTTAAAAATTCATATGCAGCACATTTAAAACACATATAATGATACATACATAAAAACATTGTTCTCACAGTTTCTGACTCAATTAAAATTGATTAAAACAATTGCCCAAAATCAATTAAAGTATCAGTTTGTTTTCAACTTCTAAATTAGCTGATGTCATATTAATTGAGATATGTATCGCACAGATTTATCAAAGACAAGAAGCAACACACTTTGTCAGTCAGTCCAAATCAAAAACTAACCTTGGGTAAAGGTACCTTCATGCACAATCCATCAAAGAAAACCGTATTTTACCTGCATGTAAGCAATTGTGGAATAGTGTAGTTCGGCCTGACGTCAACGATGTTTGAAGACACCCTACCGCAAGTTTTCGCCGTTCTTGTGTGTAAGTACAAAGTTTTTTTTACACATTTCCTGTATTACTCGGACTGTAACCTTGTTACACGTCATAATATGATATGACCCGACTACACGATTTCGGTTTCTTGGTTTTGTTACAATATTCAGATTTGTTTGTGTCAAAGCCCTGGTTAAAAAGGGAGAAAATTGTTTTCATGGCCTTGAGAACAGATGTTTCAACGCACGTGCTGGTTGCTATAGTAACATGGTTGATATTGCTTATATTTCTACATCGATTGTATAATGTCAGTGATAAGAAAGAATGCGTGATTTTTTAGTTTGTAAAATATATTTTATATATGTATATATTTAGTTTGTAAAATATATACTAAAATATATACTAAATATAAATCGTTTTTTCGCGTAAATACTATGAAATACTACGGTTAAATAAGTCATGACGTCACAGTTAATTTATATAACCATGGTTAGGTTTCTAACATTTGACATTTGTTTACTTGTTCATAATCTATAATTTTTGAAATGTGTTTTTACCTATTTATATTTAATTTCTATGCTTTTACAGGTGTAAATAAATTTCTTTGCCTCTTCTTTTACCTTGTATATTCTTTTTTTTATATATAAACAGTTCTTCACTGTTGTTTACCATAACTAAAATCCAACAGTGTTTAACGTTTATACGAAAATTATTATTGTGAAACTCAAAATTTAGAATGTTTTGGAGAAGATATGTTTAGCACACAACATTATTCCTACATAAACATATTAAATATATATATTAAAAACAGAAAGACTATTAACCACGTTGAATAACTAGCTCAGCGATATAGTTTTATGGTCTGGTATTTGTGACGTCATAGTTAGGATTTTTGAACGCACTCTAAACGCAAAAATGCCTTAACTATTAACCAAGGTTAAGTTTAATGACCATAGTATTTCATGGTATTTACGCGAAAAAACGACTATATACTACATACTACATACACAAATATTTAATAATTTCTAATTAATTATTAGGTATATATTTATAAAAGGTAAAATTCTTTCTCAAAATTTAAATTGTTAATTATGTTGATAATACATTATTTTATATACCTACTCCTATAATAATATTGTGTTTTTTCCCGTGAATAATATAAAAATTATAAATTAATGAACTCATTATTCAAGTTGTTAGGCATCAGTGATTGGGCAATTTCATTATTCACTGTGATTTGAATAAATCGGGTTTTAAATTCAAAAAGGCGACTATAATAAAATTTGAAATTAATGAAAAGTGAGGTTAACAATTTCAAAAATGTCACATTTTATTTATTTTTGAAAATAATTTAATTATCTACTTATTGGAGTAGATATATATTAATAATAATAATTATTACACTCGAGATTATGCACATTATTCAATCGGATTATTTAAGTCTCTCGTCTGGCGACTTGAGATGCAAACCTCATCCACGTAAATAATAGCCTGCATTATGAGATAATGCAGATTCTCTCGTATAATCATAATATGAAATATGATATATGATACCTATGCTATATATGATATATATTATACATACCTACTATAATTTTATATATTTTTTAAGTAAGTAGGTAGGTACCTACCTATTTTAAATAGCTTTTTAATTACAGAATTTAATAGTTTTTAGTTTTTGATTACCTACTATAATATTAATTAAAAACAAAAGGTTTTATGCCTTTACCAATCTTTATCAAATTTTGTATAAAAATAGGTACCTACTTTAACTTATATCTCAGTTTACGTGTACAAGGTTTTTTCAAAAAAATATCCTTAAAGAACTTTTATTTAATATTTAAAAAAACGCTTGAAAAAAACTTTTATAGGGATTTTTTTAAGTAAAAAAAACGCTGTTAAATACCGTATTTTTGTTAGTATACCCAAAAAATTTTGTACAAATCAAACGAACAGTAACATACAGCGCTTCAAAATCGGTAAAAAATGACCACTTTTCAGCAAAATAATCAAAAAGGGGTCATTTTTACCGACTTTGAAGTGCTGCAGCGCTTCAAAGTCGGTAAAAATGACCCCAGCGCGCTGTATCTTTGTTACTGTTCGTATGATTTATACAAAATTTTCACGGTATACCAACAAAAATACGGTCTTTAATAGCATATTTTTTATTTACTAAAAAAAATTCCCCATAAAAGTTTTTTTCGAGCGTTTTTTAAATATTAAATAAAAAAGCTTTAAAAATATTTTCTCGAAAAACCCTCGAACACGTAAACTGCGATATAAGTTGAAGTATTCTTATACAAAATTTCATAAAAATTAAAAGCGTTTAAAGGGGTTTTAGAGTTACAATTTTTTTACTTATTATGAGTTAATTTTGACGCGCAGTGTATACGAAATATAATGCGCATTATCTCTTGTGTAATGCTATACTTTATCTACTCAGTCTCCAATAAGTATATAATTAAATAATATTCAAAAATAAATAAATAAAATCTGACATTTGTCAAATCGTTAACCTCACTTTTTACCAATTTTAAATGATATTATAGTCGCCTTCTCCCAATTTAAAACCCGATTGGTTAAATTAACAGTTAATATTGAAACAAAGCGAATAAATTATTTACTTTGCCTTTAAGCATCAGCGATTTGCCGATTTTAATATTCACTGTGATTTAAACCAAGGTTTTAAATTGGGATAAGGCGACTATAAAAACAAATATTTATTATTATTATTATTAATATTCCCGTTGTTAGTGAATTTATAATGTTTATCATTATTCACGGAAAAAATATTCATATCACAATATTGTAGCGAAAACCACTCTGGATCTCGCAATGTCCTTGGTGACCAACGCTCGAGCGATCGAGAGCGGTGTGGAGCTAGCTGGAATGTTCGGGAAGATACTTGCGTAATGTGGGTCACGTACGCACTGAATATATAAGGCACAGCGGATCGTCGAGGAGTTAGTCAAGCTTTGGTACTCGCGACAAAATAAATTAAATATACGTGCAAATAAATAGCTTGTACAGTAGTGATATATAAATAACTAGTAGTTAAGTGATTAGTTAGGTTTATAGTTTCTTAGTTATTAAGTTATAAAATAAATCGTTTAGTTCGTTAATAAACCAGTGCGTGTTTTATTCAGATAGATAAAATGGTTTTGACGGTAACCTGCTGAAATATCAGATTAACACATTAAAATATATTTTTTTTATTATTTTAAATTTAGTTTTGATTATGGTTTGAATCGTTTACAATTAAATTAAATCTAAAATTTCAATAGAAAATATTATTTCAATTATTTTGAATCGAAACTAAGTTTTTTATTTCAATCGGTCTGAATCGGACACCATTGAACTGAAATTTTAATCGGTTTTAATCGGCGTACCATTTTTTCAATTACAATTAATGTTTAAATTTTTGATTTTTTGTTATTTATATTTATAATTATACCTACGTACATTTGATTTTTAATAAAAATGGATTTCAAGAACCAAATAACAAAAACACAAATAAGTAAATCCCTTAGTAACAGTTAATAGAAACAGTTAATAGAAACACCCTAAGGACACGTAATACTAAATATTCTCTTGTCTGTCTTTCAGGCACCCTGAGTGCTATCTCGGATGGCATGCAGTACGGCTGGTCAGCACCGATCATTCCAATGCTGAAATCCGCGGACAGCCCCATACGGATCACAGAAACGGAAGAAGGTTACCTGGAACTCATCTACCTGCTCGGCGGTATTGCCGGACTTCCCATCACGATGCTTCTGGTGGACCGAGTCGGCCGCAAAGGGACCCTAGTGTGCGCCGCATGCTCCAGTCTTACAGGTTGGATTCTAACAGCCGCTGCGAGTCAAGTAGAATACTTTTACGTGGCGAGGTTTTGCACTGGATTGGCGGCAGATGTCGCGTTTGTGTCCGCACCTATGTATGTTGCTGAGATTGCCGACAAAAAAATACGTGGTTTTCTTGCTGGCGTCATTTCAATAATGCTTTTAATTGGAGTAATCCTCATCTACACCATAGCACCATTGGTGCCCATATATGCATCGGCCATTATAGGAGCCTGCGTTCTAGTCATACAACTTATATTATTTAATTTTGTGCCTGAATCGCCCTATTATCTTCTCGCCAAAAATCGCAGGGAAGATGCTGAAAAGGCTCTTAGAAAATTGCGTTCAAATATCAACATCGAGAAAGAGTTGGAAGAAATTATCACAGCTGTCCAACGTCAAAGATCGCAAAAAAGCAGACCAACAGACTTGATCCGTGTTAAAAGCAATCGCAAAGGTCTAATAATTATGACTGTTCTCAACGCGTCCCAACATTTCAGTAGTATAAGCGTGATGATTATGAATCTCCATTCCATTCTAGAAGCCGGAAATTCCGTTTACATTAAACCTCTACCTACTGGCATCATATTTTCTGCTGTGATGTTGGCAGCTGCCATAGCATCAGGGTTCCTCATGGATAAATTTGGAAGAAAAATACTACTCACAAGTTCCTGCTTATCAGCTGGTCTATCATTGCTCGTCTTGGCTATATACTTTACACTGAAAAAATCTGGAGTTGATGTAGCCGGTATATCATGGCTTCCTATTGTGTCCGTGATGGTGTACGCAGCCGTATTCAGGTTCGGTTTGGGTATGGTGCCTTTAGTTCTAACATCAGAACTGTTCCCTGCTAACGTTAAAGCTATTGGTATGACTATTTCTGATGCCATGTACTTAATATTCGCGCTAATTTCAGTAAATTTGTATCACTTTTTGGGAAAACATTACGGACTTGATGTGCCTTTTTATATTTTTGCTGGGTCTTGTCTGTTTACTGCTACGTTTTGTGTTTTGTATATCCCTGAGACGAAGGGCAAGACTTTGGACGAAATTCAGTTTATTTTAAAAGGAGAGCCGTATCCTGGAAAAGAAATGACTGAGTTGCAAAAAATGAACGTGCCAGAAGATCAAACTGATGTTGCGTAATTGTGATTTTCTTTACCTTATATGTAAGGTATTTACCTACTTTTTTAGTTTTTAATATGACATTGTATTAATTAAGACAGGAATATTATACATAGCAGTGCTATAAATTACATGACTTTTTTTAAAATACAAATAGGTACACATTTACTTACTTAATATAGATTTTGTATACAATATGATAATATATAAGTTTCTAAATTAATAAAATATTTCTTTATTTTTAATAACATATTCGTTTTAAAAAAATTTAAAATATTTTTAAACAAAATCTACCAGTTCAGGTTATATTTATATTGCCTAATTAAATTTATTTTTATATACATCAAAGTTCCATTTGTAACATTTTATATTTAGGTAGCCTAATTAAAGTTATTTTACTTTCTAAAAATAAATTAGTCAAAAATGACTAATTACTACAGTTATAAGTGGCTGCTTTTTCACTACTAGATGGCTATCTTTTTTTTTCTTTCAATTTCTCCCTCAACTTTCCTAGAATATCATGTAAACAACTTCGGGCCAATGCGGATTTCCAATATCGGTTATATAATGTCAAACAACTTCGGGCCAATGTTGGGTTTCAATATTGGACGATGCTAGAAAAAATCTGACGAAAGATATATTGGCCCAATATTATTACGAGTCAATTCCATATTATATGGAAAATTGACGATATCTCAAAAACTGTTTTACTTTTATAACTTTTGACGACATTTTCGGATTATGCGGACAATTTTACATAAGAACTGGCTATTATATCGGGGATACCATGCTATTCCATAGTATACCATGGCATAAGTGAAAAAGCAGCCACTAATAACTGTAGTAATTACCCCAGTAGGCCCTTGTTCGTAATAATATTGGGCCAATATATCTTTCGTCAGATTTTTTCTAGCATGGTCCAATATTGAAACCCAACATTTGCCCGAACTTGTTTGACATTATATAACCGATATTGGAAATCCGCATTGGCCCGAAGTTGTTTTACATTATATTCTAGGAAAGTTGAGAGAGAATTTGAAAGAAAAAAAGATAGCCACCTATAGTCCATTCAATTTAAGAAAAAAGCGTTAAGTTGAATAGGATTTATTATAGACCAATCACGACGCTTAAAATTGTGGCTTTTTTTACACAGGCGAAAATTTAAAACCCATCTCTTTTTAATACGTTGGATGTTGATATAACGTAGGTAGTTCTCTTACATTGCATATTTTCTTATACAGCGTTGCCATGGCTTCTAAAAACAAATTTACAAACTGGCATAATAATATTATTTAATAAACCAGAGTTCTTATAATATTTAAATTATAAAATTATATTATATTAGCTTTTGTCGTCAATTTGTCAAAAATATATTTTAAATATAGAAAGAATTTAACTTTTCAAAAGGTTGGATTTATAATACAAAGTGTATATTTTGTTAATTTATTACATGTTCTGTGATTTTTTTGGCTTTATTTAACGTATTAACCGTTGTTAATAATAAGTCAATTACATTAAAATTGCTTAACATAACCAAAGAAAATATTTTTATATTTTTGAGAGACAATATTGATAATATGGACAATATAAACAATGTGGAAAACCAACCCTCTGTCCTAAAAAACAAATCTTTCTAATATATAGGACGAGGTCAAAGAATAATACTTTTTAATATGGTAAAAAACATATCGATGAAGGAAACTCAAAAAGTGCCAGTGTAATATTAACATCTGAAGAAACTGGTATTTCAAAAAGTACCATTTGGTCCACCATCAAACAAATGGAACATGACGGAAAGGCTACATCCCCATTAAAGAAAAGAAAGCGGGCAAGTCAATATGACAAATTGAGTGACAAAAGAAGCGCATAAGAAAAGTTGTTCATAACTTTTAAATAATGAAATACCAAATTTAAGTAAAATTTATCAAGTAAGTAATTATGTTATTGAAATATGTTTAATAATTGATTAGAAAAATGTTCCCTTAATGTAAATAATAAACAAAATAGGGGGTAGGTATACCAGGTGCTGTTAAATAATAAAAATTGGTTTTGCTTTAAATAAATAGGTTTTTATTGTGTGTATAAACTAATTGTTTTTCCTTTTTTTTTAGTCCGTAAAGGATAATTATAACTTACCACCAATTTCTCGGACAAATTTATGGAGAATTTTAAAAAAACTTGGCTTCAAGTATGAAAAAAGGGGTAGGAATCATTTACTGGTTAAAAAAATTGAAATAGTAATTTTAAGAAGAAAATATATTGATAATATCAGGAGTTACTGATTACAGGATCAATAAATATATTACATGGATGAGATTTGGATCAATGCAGGACACAAAGCCCAAGGTGTGTAAATGTATTTGAGCAAAAGTCAACAGGGAATTATCATGAGGATATGAATGGAACTGTTTTTGAGACTTGGATAAAAAATGTTTTACCAAAATTAAAAAAGAACATTGTTATTGTGATGGATAATGCCCCCTATCATTCTGTTAAAATTGAAAAAAAATCCATCAGCAGCATGGAAATTGGGAGGTCATTTTGACGTGATTTGTCTCTGTAAAATTTTGTTTTTTTTTAATAAAACCTTCATTAATTGCATTTGTATTTTATTTAAGCCTTACTTTAAAAAACAAGATTTAATTTTTTAAATAGCTTTTTTCAGTGGGGGTAAGTAGGGTCTTCATGATAGTGGTTACATAAGTTGTTCAGAATGAATGTAAAAAAAATCCAAATTTTTACAATAGCTATTTTATTTTCTTGATATTGGTTAATTTGTTTAACCCAAAATATTTCTTAGCAAATTATGTTACGAGTAGCAATCGTTTATAACGAACCGTAGTAAACCATGAACGATGGTTCGCTGTTTGTTATTTTAGAAAAAATAAACAAATTTCATATAGGTACTTTGGTTCGTAGATATTATTCGAGTTTGTTCGTTTTAACCGAAAGTTCTCTTTACCAGGTTCGTAATAAGCGGACATATGTATACTCTATATTAAAAAATGCACTTTTCAAATCCATGGATGTATGCTTACACTCAAAGAAAAAATTAATTTTTTCCGTTCATTTACCATTTAATTTTTCTTACATGTTTAATAAAACTCGGTACATTTGTTAATTACTAAATTTTTATATTATAAAATCATAAAAATTTAATAAAACATTAAAATATGTACTATTTTCCACATCAATAAAATGAACTGACATTTAAATAAGAAATGCAGTTAAATAATTGAGGTTATGTTGCTCAAATTAATGTTTATTTCTTCTTATTTTATATAGTAAATTATTTTTTCATGGTATACATAATACATTCAAGGTTGCTATGATTTTTCCATATTTGTTGTAACATAATAATATTCTATCAACGACATCTGCCATTATATTTAAATTTGCCGCGTACTCCTGTGTAAACCTGTCTCGTTTTGCAGCGACATCTACTTTATTATTAAATGGAATGGTCTATAGTATTATTACGAAGTAGGAATTCTAAAAGTCATATGTCACGATCGTGTCGACAAACGTTTGTTTTCAGGAAATGTTTATAGTAGGTACTTAGGGGCGTAGAAGCCGGGGGGCGGGTGACAATGCCCACCTAAATGATAAGGGGGAGAGGGGGGTTACTTGATATAAAATGTACCATCCAATTTCTTTAAAAAAAATCTACCAATAAGACAAGACGTGTACCGTCTATGTTATTCTTAATTACGATGAAATGCTAAAATCGTTTGTATCGTGTGTTACGAATTTTATTGCTAATAATACAAGAAATCGCATATTACCCTTGTTATTCTTACGGTAATATGCTAGAATGGCCTTATATAGGACCAACATTGGATAAACATTGGCAAGATATATTAAATTATCATTTTATGCCAATATAGGGCTAACATCGGCTAAATAAATCCAAAATTGGCCCCAGATAAAATATTGGGCATAGACGCGCCCCATATAGGACCAATATTTTGTGCTACTGGGGTACTCATTTTTGACTAATTCATTTTTAGAGAGTATATACACCAAAGCTCCATTTGTAAATGCTTTAGCCATCATAGGGGCATGCGTTCCAGTTGCTCAGCTCATATAATCTAAATTTGTTTCTGAATTGCCATATTGTCTCTTTGCCGAAAGATGCAGAGAAGATTCCAAAGCAGCCTTGAGAAAGTAACGTTTAAATATCAACATCAAGAAAGAGTTGGAACAGCTGTCCAAAGTCAAATATCGCAATAGAGCAGGCGTGAAAAGCAATCAAAATGGTTTAACAACGATGACTTTTCCCGACTGACCCAAACCTGATGATTATAAACCGGATATTTCGTTAATATGAAACCTCTAGTTGATAATAATTACTTCTATTTTGAGCAGCTTAGCGAACTGTACCAGTTCGTTTGCTAGATTTACACATTGCCTGTGTAAGGACTGACGATAATTGGGGTTATTTTTATGATCTCTTCTACCGTTACAGATTTTGCAAGGTATTCCAAATACACTGGTCACTTGATGGTACACTTCTATAAGTTTGGCTAGACAGCAAATCAATTATAACAATAAACACCTACATTTTAAAATGTTGTCCAGGTGTTTATTTTCTATTTACAACTTCAGGCCACTTACTATTAGAATAACTACTACGTCTTTTCATGTATGAACCTATACCGTATTTTCATTTTTCCTCTAGACAGGCCGCATTCGGTTTTTAAGAGTGGGAGACGCCGAGACTTGGACGGAGAGATGGTATTCGTAATTCAGCAGTAGAACTTTCACCGGCGATTGGTGATGTTGAAGTTTGTTCTGGATTATTAATACGAATTACGCATTATTAAGTTAATTTACATATAAAATGATTCAGATACTTAAGATGTAACGTAATCACTTTTAACAGTAAATTATTAATTAAAGGTGTAAAATCATTATTTGTTTTGCATTTAACTAAAAGTGTTTTCTTATAAAAAAACATAAAAAATTCTCTTTAAAAACAAAAATAAAAAAATAAAATATTGAATACAAATTAAAATAAATAAATCAATACTCTTAAAACAAAACTAAAAATCAAACTTCTTTAAATAAATGTAAATAAATTAATTAAATAATAAAAATAATAAATTATTATTTGAACACAAGCTTTGAATAATTTATTCAAAGCCTATTTTCAAACGTTCCCCCAAATTGCGTCAAACAAAAGCCCAGTCTGTCATAAAATTCGTTGCGAACATTAGCTAGCATATCTGGAGTAATTGTCTTAAAC